CAACATGACAATAAAAACGGACAACATGACATTAGGAATTGCGTTTCTCTTGTATTGTCATGTTTTATTGTCATGTTGTCCGCTTTTATTTTCATGTTTCGTGGGAATGCGCGGCCTGCGAAGGCTGTTACAGAAGCAGCACAGTTGCTCTTGAGTTCTGGCTCTCGGGTCACCATTTCTTAGTTGTTATTTTAAAATGTTATCCGCATAAAGAAATTGCGTTGTACTTGTATTCCAAAGCGCAATTACAGGACTTGGCAAAAAGCTGCACGCGACCGCGCCGCGCGGACGGTGTTAGTAAAAACGTGAGTTTGCAAAAACGGGCGGCGTAGCAAGGAATTACGACTTTCCCACGGCCCCGTACTCTGACCCCGTGCAGTTTTGGGCGGGGGACCACGACACATCGACAGCTGGGGGGCTGATAGTCTCATACACCCTCAATGTGTTTGAGCGTACCATGTGTCTTTAATGGCTTTTGTTTTCTATTTCTTTCTTGATTCAGGATAGAAATGAGCAAAAAGCGTGAGAACTTCATTTAAGGTAAATTTTTTATTGTTTCTTTTTTCGTCGAGCTTATACATGAGGTTATAAAGTTTTCACCTGTTGATGTTGCGTAAAATGATTAGTGTTTTGGTTCCTAGGTGAGTTTCTTTCTGTTTCTTTTTTTTCTTCGTTGTTTGAACTCGACTTGTAAACTATAAATGTTTTGGAAGTTGGAACAGTTCAGACGATAGGAACTTTTAAGGCGCTTGTATAAATTGAAACAATAAAAACAAAAGAAAAAAAGAAGCTCACCCAGGAAATGGAGTTGGCCTTATCCCGACCTAAAAGGAAGTGAAACCTTCTTACCTCATATTCCAGATCTGCTTATGTATAGAAAGTCGTAGCTTATCTGTTAGTAGCCCTTATTAAGAGTAAAGAAGGTCTTACAAGTTGAATTCCCTTATTCATCAGGCGAGCGGTCCATAATAGCGTTGGGGCGCGCGCTGCCATGCACCGACGATCGCGGCGATCGCCGCTCGCCGCGCGAAGTATGAACGCTGCCTGAGCGCTGGCGTCGAGTAGTGGATGGTGATGGTGCATACCTCTAATCTTCAGGCTGGTTCGCTTTTGAGATATTTACAAAAAAATTCGGGGCTAAAAACATATGCATCAACCTAATTTTCTATTTATTACTTATCCTATTTTATTATTTTCAATGCCCCTATTTTATTTATGCCCTTCGTATTTCCAGTATGTCCATGTTGTCTATTTGTTTTATTTAACTATTGTTTTATTTCATTTTATTCGTATTTACTACTGCATTTGATTGGTATATATTTACTCCATTTTACATTTACTCTATTTGATTCATTCCTACTTATTATTTATCGGCACATATTTTGTTCGTGTTTTCTAAAGTGTTCCACACTTCATTGCTTACTTAGTTACTGTTTTATTATATTTTTTTGTCGCATTCACGCATTTAGGTCGGTCGGAATTTGCCGTTTCCTGGTTCCGATGAAGACGGGTCCACTTATATCAGTCCATAATCAGGCTCTGTTGGGCATACGCGTGATAAGAAGATGGGCAACCTTGCTATTTGAAAGCGATGGAATGATTATGATTTGGCGAGGTGCGTGATGATTCTTTAGTTTTGGGCCACTTTTCGATTCACTGACTCGGTTTGCTCTTTATGAGCCATTTTTGAAATATACGCTTCACAAGCATCTTGAAGTTTATGTTCTTCTCTTCCTTTGAGTGGGAGTTTCTGTTTTTGTTAACCGTGAATGAAGCGGCTCTGCAAGAGATGCAGTATTTTGCACACAAAACTAGGGAAGTGACGCCATGGACGGCAAAAATGTGCAATTTACAGCTAATCAGCGAAATTCCATAGAATTAGTGACCTGGTAAAGATTTATTGTAAGGAACGTAAACGTGTTTCGGAACCTCATACTCATGGCCCCGTCTTATCCGGGAAACCCTGCACAAATGCACAAGTAATAAATAGAAAATTAGGTTGATGCATATGTTTTTAGCCCCGATTTTTTTGTAAATATCTCAAAAGCGAACCAGCCTGAAGATTAGAGGTATGCACCATCACCATCCACTACTCGACGCCAGCGCTCAGGCAGCGTTCATACTTCGCGACAGTAGCGGCGATCGCGGCGATCGCCGCGATCGTCGGTGCATGGCAGCGCGCGCCCCAACGCTATTATGGACCGCTCGCTTGCTTGTATGTTGGAAGGTGTTACAGTCGAGCGTACGATCCCAAAACTGATGCAAACCTTTTTTGACAGAAGACGATGCCGTTCGCAATATTGCTCTGAACAAACAAGGAACTGGATGATTAGGTTCCCAAGGCAGCGTTCAGGAGCAAAACGTAGCAGCATCCATTCAGTTTTAGTTTTAGAGCGCAATCGAATCAGACGTGCGTACGCATCCAAAATGCTGTAAAGAAATTTCGAGAAAATCACGGAGAAGTCTATGCATTGTGCTATCGCGGAGCCTGAGATGGGGGTTTAGCAGAGGCCTTGCAGAAGCCAACCTTACGTGCAACTATCGAGAACGATGACGACAGCTGATGCGACTGGTTTCTAAAGTGTGACATAACCACTGGAACCATTAGTGCTTCACATTTTGAACAAACACTCGAGAAACTTTATTTTGCGGAAAATCAGTCTAGTGATTCTTCTTAGCTGCTTGTTTGTTGGAGACAAATCATTCCATCATCACTTGTAGACACAGACGACTTTTACTAGGTTCCCTTCGAAGTAGCTGTTGCATCCATATTTGGTGTGTGGAGGAAGATTGCGTACCTACACGAAAACGATGACACAGAATTTTACCAACATGGAAACTCCATGATTTACGAAACTTCTCCCCATTCGGACATCCCACTCACCTCAGGAATGCTTCCGTGATCTTGGGCTTTTCACTGCATAAATTTCCCGTATATAAAGCCCAAGAACTTAGCATAAGAATTTTCATAGTTTTTTTGCGCGGCTTTATTGCCGCGTATCACTTGCACTGTTTCTCTTGGTGGGGCTGTATATTTCATTTGTAAGGGGCGTATTATGCCTTTCTCGTAATCTAACATTGAGACACACGCTGGTAAATGGGCAGCCGGCGCCACGTCCAAACGGAGTACGTGACCACGCCCTACTCTTCCCCGGGATATGGAGGCTGCATAGGAGGAGGTGTGATGTACTTGCAGACATTATCGTCAACTCGAACAGTCTCAATCCCAGAACTGATGCTGAAGCTTTCACATCTACAAAATCTCATTGTTATGAAAAATCTTGTTTCAACTTACATTTTCTGTCTGTGTTTCATCTTGCAACCCGTCCATTAGAGTTTCTCCAATCATGACTGGGACTGATCCACCGCTCGCGAACGTCCTTAATCAGGACGTTACGTTGTGGAATGTACCTTACATGAAAAGATACCTACTTTTCTGCAATGAATTTGTGAGGTGCATTAGAGGCTACAATACCTCTTGCTTCGTTACAAGCGTCACTGGAAAGTCCTGGGTCCCATTCCTGGAAATGAGAATTGTTTCTAGGGGTTTATGCTCGCGTTCCACTTCATGTGGGTGCTGAAGATACGCTGCTCACTACCTGCCATGATTTTTTGCCATGAGTGACGTGAATAAGTTCGCGCAGAAAAGTGCCATTTTCGTCACTCGGAAGTGCGCGGGAGCGAAGCAGGAGGGCCAGCGTTGCTGATTGCTGTTGCAGGACTCACTACCTGCCATGATTTTTTGCCTGCTGTCCAGAAAATACGGCAACTGCATAAATGCGAGCGAGCAACATGACCTGCATGCTGCCCATCGCGGTCAGGAGTAGATGACGACCATACATGAGAGGAAGTAGTCAAGAAGCGCGTTTGGCTATAATTAGGCGTATGCTTGGTCTTATCGCAGGCTGCTGCTAGCGGGTGTAGCCCGAAAAGTCATCTAGCTACCGTTACTCTCAAGTCGCGTTTCGGTGCGCCTCGGTTTGCTCTGCGCATGGCAAAATTCGGGATGTTCCGAGGTGAGCGTGCAGCGTATAATTGGCAAGATAAAACCATAAAGTGTTTGAATTTAATTAAATGCTTCCCCTACTTCAACACACCCATGCCATGGTAAGAATTCCAGAAACCTTAGAACTTTTACAGTGAGCAACATGATATACGGGGCTGTAATTGATTCTGGAGGGAGGGTTCTGTGGTAACTACAGGCGAGAACCGATTTGAATGATTTGAAGAAAAAACATTTTCAGAACACCAACCAGTGCTGGGTTGAGGAACTCGTTGAAGCTCGAGTACCACTCTTTCCTTGCGGTGTAGGTAGGGCATCTATCTGAAAACACATCATGTTCCTCTGCTTGTGGATTGAAAACTACATTAGGAGCAGTAAAATGCCCAGAAAGATTCCCAACCACAACGGCAATGGAACCATTGTACTTACTCCCAGCCGCCACGTTGATCAGAAGAAAGCACAGTGGTACGAGAACGAACAACATTCTGATTGGGGCACGATCTCGCCCGTCCATTTTATGGGCAAACTCGCCATGACGGTTTTGCAGCTAGGCGCTCATTGGATTATATGAAAACCTTTTTCGAGCCGACTAGTTGATTGTCTCCCCTTTGTGTCAATATCTCCTTATTCAGATGTTATGCCCTCTAGAGAATCAGAAATCGATAAAAAATGAAGCACATTGTGTTACAGCCAAATATGAAATTTTCCCGTTATCGATCCAGCACCCATAGTTATTTTTGGGCGAACCCGGCAGCAACAACCATGTCATGTGACATATCCTGTCATGGCATAACTTGCCGCATAATTAGCTGTTGAAGGAACTCGAGTGGCCTACATTAGTTTCTAATGTGAAATGGTTGATCAAAAGTTCAAGCTTGATTTGAAACTTCGCGGATTTCGATAAGGGAAGTGAAGAAAGAAAATCAGAAAGTACTGCATTTGGTCTAAAAAGTCGTAAAGTCGTCTTTTCAGTCAGTAGTTACAGATCAGCACTGTCGCTTAACATCTACAGGGGAGGCCGATAAATAAAGTCACTTTTCTTCTTTGACTTTCGAGACGCTATAAGTTACACTTTATTGAATTCTGATCGGACATTTCCACACCATCTTAAAGAGCATATTAAATACTATCATGACACTCCACAGCCTTCTGGACGAGCGCCATCGAGAGATTCTGGCACGCGACCGCGATGTGGTGCCTGAGATCAGCGAGATAGTCGATTTCTCCGCCACCGTAGACCACCCTATTGAACTCCGCCCGAACCGGGTAATTGAGGGGATTCAGGTCAGGTGACCTACTTGGATATTCCATCTTCTTTAGGTACTCAACCCTTCCATTCCAAGTAGGCGAGAGTTTCTCCAATGCCCTTCGATTCCATGTGGTGGCACCCAATGCTGTAGCAGTACAAAGTTTCCAAGAAGGTACGGGCGACGACATGTGAGGAGGATATTCTTCTCGAGTTGCTCGATGTAACCGCCAGCGCTCACCTTCAGTCCGGGGTCCACGAAGAAAATATCGGTCTTTCCATTCCAGGTACGTCCGGTCCATACCATCAACCCGCGCCTTGGCGACTGCGGTGAAGATGATGTCCTAGACCGTAGCGACGTTGTCGGAGCTGCTCGATGTTGGAGGTCTTCCAGATCGAGAGTACTGGTCTCCAGGTAGCTATCCATGGGTGACTCCATACTAGAAGTTTCGCAGCTGTTTGGAGGTGACATGAATTCCAAAGGTCTTCTCCAGTCAGGCTGCGACTGGAGATGACTTCATATTTTGGTGTACATGAAGGTGATGGGCGAGAGCCAGCTCCTGCTTATCGAGGAACATCTTGGGTATCTTCCGCCCTGGTACTCGTATCCACGTCTTCTCTCTGGGCTGCGAAAACTTTGCTGATATGTGACTCGGTCGAAGTGACTTTTTTGCCCCCCCCCCTGTAGATGTCGTAAACCTGCATCTTTGTATCTAAACCGATGTATCTTTGTATCTAAACCGATCGTGAGCGCAGTGACATTCAAGGCCACCGTTCTGAGCTGTCACGTGGCGATGAAGAAGCTACTCGCACGGTACATTCCCGAGAGTTAAGCAAGCTAACAAATTTCCTGTGCTTTGCTCGACTTCAAGCTTTCCAAGACTTCCATCCCATTGTTCCTTCAACAGCTAATTAATGCGGCAAGTTATGCCATGACAGGATATGCCACATGACATGGTTGTTGCTGCCGGATTCGCCCAAAAATAACTATGGGTGCTGGATCGATAACGGGAAAATTTCATATTTGGCTGTAACACAATGTGCTTCATTTTTTATCGATTTCTGATTCTCTAGAGGGCATAACATCTGAATAAGGAGATATTGACACAAAGGGGAGACAATCAACTAGTCGGCTCAAAAAGGTTTTCATATAATCCAATGAGCGCCTAGCTGCAAAACCGTCATGGCGAGTTTGCCCATAAAATGGACGGGCGAGATCGTGCCCCAATCAGAATGTTGTTCGTTCTCGTACCACTGTGCTTTCTTCTGATCAACGTGGCGGCTGGGAGTAAGTACAATGGTTCCATTGCCGTTGTGGTTGGGAATC